TTTTTTGTGAGGAAAATCAGCCCTGAGCTAACATCCATGCTAATCCTCCTCTTTTTGCTGAGGAAGACTGGTTCTGAGCTAACATCTATTGCCAATCCTCCTCCTTTTTCTCCCCCAAAGCCCCAGTAGATAGTTGTACGTCATAGCTGCACATCCTTCTAGTTGCTGTATGTGGGATGCAGCCTCAGCATGGCCGGAGAAGCGGTGCGTCGGTGCGTGCCCGGGATCCGAACCCCGGGGCCGCCAGCAGCAGAGCGCGCGCACTTAACCGCTCAGCCACAGGGCCGGCCCCCTCTGACAGTCTCACATTCAGGATGGAAATAAATCTCATGATGAGACAGCATGTAAGTGGAAGAGCTGAGAGACGGAAGGACCTGGGTATTTGGTGACTGACTGCATTTTGTAATCAACCAACCCTGAAAGCCTGCCTTATCTATGTTCTGTTATGGGAGATAATTTCTTCAGTTTAGTGGTTTTAATCAAGTTTCTACTGCTTACAGCCAAAAGCATCCTGAGATAAGTTGCAGGTACTAAATTAATAGGCAATTCCCAATACTAAATGAAACACAAAGAAGTAATAATTTTAGCACTTTGACCAGGTTATGCTTTGCTGAAACGATCCTTAAAGGAGAGGAAAAATTCAAATACTTAGAGAAGACAGATAAGTAATGCTAAGAAAATAATACAGATTGAACAAAGGCACAGAGGTAGAAATGTATATAATGATTTCAGAGGCTAGTGAATGGAGGAGTCTGGCTAGACTACATGGTTTATAAAGGGAAATAAAACTAGAAAGATAGGTAAATTCACAGTGTAGAAAACCTTCAACAATGTTTTTCCAGTTTTTTTAAAAGGTGCATAATTTGGTTTTAACTTTATCAGTGATGTTTTCTTTCTTAGGTCATTAGTCATGGATACGTGACTAATTTTTTACCTTTTTACATATCTTAAATATTTCTTTTTAAAAAGAGGTATATAATTCCAATAAAGGCATTATTTTGACAAAAGTTCATTATTATTTCCACTTATAATCGTCCAAAAATATCTTGATAAAAATTAACTTTTGCCCTCTAAAATTAAACCATTTTACCAAAAAAAAAAAAATTTCCATTCAAAATAAAGTACCACAGGAATGCGAATTCTATGAAATTCTAATACCTCAGAAATGTAAAGATCAGCTTGTTTTAGTAACTCTCCAATAATTAGAACATTTGAAGTAGTACCATCTCCTGTAATGTCATCCTGGGCTGTTGCTACTTTTGCTATCAAGGAAGCCGTTGGGTGTTGAATTTGCTGCAAAAAGTAAGCAACAGGTTAAAAAAGAGAGAGAATGAGATAAAGCAATAGTCTACCCAAAACAAGATAACCTAAGGGTCAATAGTAAAATCAAGAAATGAAACAAGCTTCAATCTACAAGCTCCCAAGTTTTGTATTATCAAGGCTTAATAAACGTCAACACCAAAAGTTAAAAATTGAGAACTAATGAAGTTTGAACATTTTATAAAAGGGTCTTTGGTTCAGAATGCAATGACATTTCCAAAATAAGATTAAATCCTTCAATCTCAAAGATGAATGTATTTACTAAAATTGCAAAGGATTTTTTATTTTTCCATGATTACAAAGAACATAATGCAGCGCCTTTAAAACATGTAACTAATTTGGAAGTATCCCTAAGCTATTACTTAGACTATACAAAGATTTGAAAACAGCTAAAACAAACTTTCATTGAGGTTTAATCCAACAAGCATATCTCATGACTGCAATATTTAGCTGACAGCCTTGGTTTAGAGATATGCAAATTGTACTATATTCTCAATTAAGGCTTATTAAGGTTGATTAAAGTCAGCAGCATCAGCTCACCATCTCATGGAGCAGCACATTGCCATCTTTGGTGACTTTGATATCACCTGCACCAGAAACAAGCCTGTTCAAAAAACAGTGATGTTACTAACTTCACGTGGCAAGAGTCAAGCGAGACACTCCCAGTGCTTGCCGTCCCACTATCCTTAGTATAGGGAACTGCGCTTGGAAAACTTCCATCGTACCATGGGGAGACGCCACAGTAATTCCCACCATTTGCAGCCCACAGAATCACTTCTCCCAAGATACACTGCTATGGCGATTTCATTCCAAATGGAGCATTTACAAGGTTAAGGATAAGAGCAGTTGAAGAGTTATGAACAGTGATTTGGTCAAAGAAGAGTACTTGGAACCACACAAACCACAAATTTGTGAATTTCCAGCAGGTTTTTTATTTTGGTGAAATGTTACCATTCATTCACTCAACTTGGTTTCTTCCCTCATCCCTCACATTTATTAGATCATCAAGTTCTGTCAATTCTACAATCTAAATGTCTCTTGAATCTACCCCTTCCTCTCCATTTCCACTGTCATCATCATCGGTAGTCTGGACTACTTAGCATCCTCATATCTTTGAATCTGAATCCATCCACCACACCACATTCATCTTTCTAAAAGGTAATATAACTCAGTTAGTTCCCTGATCAAAAATCCTTCAATGATGTTCATGTTCTCCATCAGCTTCAAGGTAAAATCCAAACTATTTAGCAATGACATCGTTGACCTTTCCCAATATGGGTAATATCTATTTTTTCTGCCTCATCCACTAAAAGAAATCCTGTGGGCAAATCTTGTGGTTCCCTCAAATACATCATTTGTTTTTGTTTGTGTTGGATTTACACCACTAGGCTTTCTTGTTCCTAAAATCACTCTATCTAGAAGGCCTTTACTCCCTTCTCCAACTAGTGAACTCTAACTAGTCTTTCAAGACTCTCATGAAAAGTGCCCATTGGAGCCTGCCCGGTTGGCGCAGTGGTTAAGTTCACACGTTCTGCTTTGGTGGCCCGGGGGTTCGCAGGTTTGGATCCCTGGCACAGACCCACGCCCTGCTTGTCAAGCAATGCTGTGGCAGCATCCCATGTAAACTAGAGGAAGATGGGCACAGATGTTAGCCCTGGGCCGAGCTTCCTCAGCAAAAAGATGATTGGCATCAGATGTTAGCTCAGGGCTAACCTTCCTCACACACACACACACACACAAAAAAGTGCCCATCAACTGATGTATCGATAAAGAAGATGTGGTATATATATATATATACAATGGAATACTACTCAGCCATAAAAAAGACAAAATCATCCCATTCACAAAAACATGGATGGATCTTGAGGGTATGATGTTAAGCAAAATAAGCCAGACAAAGACAAACACTGTATGATTTCACTCATATGTGGAAGATAAACAAACACGTGGATTTGGAGAACAGATTAGTGGTTACCAGAGGGGGAGGGGGAAAAGGGTAAAGGGGCACATATGTATGGTGACTGATAAAAACTAGACTATTAAGGGGCCGGCCCCGTGGCTTAGCGGTTGAGTGCCCGCTTTCCGCTGCTGGCAGCCCGGGTTCGGATCCCGGGCGCGCACCGACGCACCGCTTCTCCAGCCGTGCTGGGGCCGCGTCCCACGTACGGCAGCTGGAAGGCTGTGCAACTGTGACATGCAGCTGTCTACTGGGGCTTTGGGGGAAAAAAATAAATAAATAAATAATTAATTAAAAAAAAAAAACTAGACTATTAGGGGTTCGCAAGATGTAGTCTATACAGAAACTGATATATAATAATGTACACCTGGAATTATACAATATTATGAACCAATATGACCTCAATAAAATAATTTTTTTTTAAAGATAGCATTTTTTGAAAGAAAGAATGACAAGCTGTAGTCAGTCAGGTTACTGTGATTAAAGGTAAATGAGGTGGTGATTTCACAACTGTGAATGTACTAAATGCCACTGAATTGTTCATTTGAATTTGTTCAACTTTATGTTATGTGAATTTCAGCTCAATAATTATTTTTAAAAATATAGTAAATGGGGCTCTGAATAACAATTGGAGTCCATAAAAAAAAAAATCATGTTATTTGAGGCGCTTTTCCTTCTCCCATCAGTAATTAGTCCCTTTCCTCAGAATAATCATCTATCTACCTACCTACCTACCTATATTTAGCACATTTCCTCTTTACCAGATCTCCTTAAGAACAGAAACTGTATCTTGGCCATCTGTGATCCCAGCATCCCAGTTAGTACATAATAAGGGCTCTCTTTTACTGTTAACATTAATTTATTTTACTCATTCCTCTGAGCCTGTATCTCTCTCCTCTTAAACCTTTTTGTCCTCACTAGTCTCTTTCCCTCAGGCTCTTCTAAAGAAAATAATGGTGCTAAATAAATATATGATGAAAGGATGAACAGATACGAAGAACCATAGGCAGAGTGTTCAAGTAACTTGCCTAAGGACTCACAGATAGAAGGGGAACCTGGATCTGAACCCAAGCCTGGCAGGCTCCAAAGCCCGTGCCCTCTCCACAACACACCGCCAAACAAAACCAAAACTAAGCGTACGTAGACTCAAAGAGCAGGGGAGTTAGACGGCCTCTGTTTGATACGAGACACTAAATGAACTCTCTAATTGCATATGAAACACAACGAAAAGTTGGGGCGGGGCACAGCTCCCCTCGTGGGGCCCTTTCCTCGGGGAGGCTTTTCTCCTCCTCCCCCAGCCGGCTAGGGAGGACCTCAGGGCAGGAATGAGAATGCGGGAAACCAGCCCCACAGGCGCGTCCACACCGCTCCAACATCTTCGCGGAAGGTCCGCCTCGGAGCGCGCCCTGACACCCCACAAACCCCGGCGCCCTAACCGCTGCTCCAACCGCCGCCTCACATTTTCATGGTGCCCTTGGGACCCAAGTTGGTCCGCAGGACGTCCTGCAGCCCTCGGGCGGCGCATATATTGACAGCCAGGGCCGCCTGGGCCCGCGCCACCTCCGCCTTGGAGTTCAGCGCCTTTACCGCAGCCATACCCCGACCGCTGAGAGAGCGAGCTGGCCGGCACCAACAGCCTGACCCGCCCCTCGGAGGGAAACCCGCCGCCACGGCTCACACTCCTGGGCCTCAGCCAATCCCCGCCCGGATAGGAAGTGACGTCATCAGGCATCGCCGGGACGGAAGCCAGAATCGCCTTGGGTCAGGTCGTAAAGATGGCGTCCTCGGCCCCTGCTCGGACTGCTGCGGGAAAGCGAGTGGTGAATCAGGATGAACTGCGGCGGTTGATGAAGGAGAAGCAGCGTCTAAGCACCAACCGGAAGCGCATAGAATCTCCGTTTGCGAAGTACAACCGTTTGGGGCAGCTGAGCTGTGCCCTGTGTAACACCCCGGTGAAGAGCGAGCTCCTGTGGCAGACTCACGTCCTGGGAAAGCAGCACCGAGAGAAAGTGGCCGAGCTGAAAGGCGCGAAGGAAGCCACCCCGGGTCCGTCCGCCAGCGCAGGGCCTCAGTCGGCCAAGAGGAAGGGGCCAGATGCGGATAGCCAAGATGCCAAAAGAGCGAAGGCCTCCCCCGTGCCTCAGGTACAGCCCTCCACGTCCGCTTTGCCCACCAGATTTGACAAAGCAGGAAAGGAGTCCGCTAGAGCTACCCTCGGTAAGGCTTCGGGACTCGGTTTACTCCCTGATTATGAAGATGAGGAAGAGGAGGAGGAGGAGGGGGGAGGCGAAGGAAAAAGAGGGGACGCCGGCAAGCAGCTGCCCGACTCACAAGGCAAGGAACACTCACTTTCCTCCTCGCGCGAGGCAACAAGTGGTATGCTGCCAAAGGATTTCTCGGATACAAATCCTCCCAAGGCCCCTTTAATTCCTCATTCAGGGTCAATTGAGAAAGCAGAGATACATGAGAAAGTAGTGGAAAGGAGAGAAAACACCGCGGAGGCGTTACCGGAAGGGTTTTTTGACGACCCCGAGATAGATGCGAGGGTACGAAAGGTTGATGCCCCAAAGGATCAGATGGACAAAGAGTGGGACGAATTTCAAAAGGCCATGAGACAGGTCAACACTATTTCCGAAGCCATCGTTGCTGAAGAAGATGAGGAGGGACGGTTGGACCGGCAGATTGGGGAGATCGATGAGCAGATAGAGTGTTACCGTCGGGTGGAAAAGCTGCGGAATCGCCAGGATGAAATAAAAAGTAAGCTTAAAGAGGTCCTGACCATAAAAGAACTGCAGAAAAAGGAAGAGGAGAACGTTGACAGCGATGATGAGGGGGAACTACAGGATTTGTTGTCTCAGGATTGGAGGGTGAAAGGGGCTTTGTTATAGGGTTTCAAAGACCCAAGTTTTCTACACTCTACCATTGTATAAAAAGTGCGTCTCTCGATGGGATATCGGTTACTCCCTGCCTAGACGTTTGGTAACCCAACTGGGTTAAGATACAACGAGCCTGTGACGGTAGCACTTTGGAAAACTGGTGTAAAATATTCTTGAGGTAAAGCTGTTTTTGAAGTTTTTGAAGTATTATATACTAAAATGCCAACTTTTTCACACATTTACGGATTTAAATGTACACTTTTGGTAAAACCTGTAAACTGTAAATATTGTACATAGTTAAATATATATTTACTCAAGTAATTCTGTTTTGAAATTTATAAATTAATAGAAGTCAGACCAACAGACAAGCTCTTAGATGAAAACGAAGTGTGATAGTTGGGATGTATATGGCTTTTTCTTTTCTGACCCCCTAAATCAAACTCAAGAGGGTTGGGAGGAGGGTTGTTTTATTTTTGTGTTTTTGTTTTTAACATGCCTCATAAACAAGTAAGTCATTCAGGCTGATCCATTCTCTGAGTATTCTGTTTCTGTTTCAAAAACGTGCTCTAGGGCCGGCCCCTTGGCTTAGCGGTTAAGTGTGCGTGCTCTGCTGCTGGCGGCCCGGGTTCGGATCCCGGGCGCGCACCGACGCACCGCTTCTCCGGCCATGCTGAGGCCGTGTCCCACATACAGCAACTAGAAGGATGTGCAGCTATGACATACAACTATCTGCTGTGGCTTTGGGGACAAAAAATAAATAAATAAAATCTCAAAAACGTGCTCTAGGAGAACATGGAGAAATATTTATGCCAAACATGATCAACCTCCTTAACCCAAAATTTCTCTTGATCCTCAAACCAGTGATTCCTGGATTGCAGTTGCACATGAAGATCACTTATGAGGCTTTTTAAAGTGTGTGCATGAATCACCTATGAAACTTTTAAGAAATTCATGTGCCAGAGCCCTGCCATTAAAGAGAGTCAGTAAATCTGGAGTGGGGCCCAGGCATCCGTATTTGTTTCGAAAGATTTTCAGGTCATTGTAGTATATGCCAAAGTTGGAGAGCCGCTGCCCTAAATCCAGAACCCATTTATATTTTTTCAGGCTTTGTTTTCTCTTTAAATAACACATTCCATAAGTTTACTGTCTATTGTATAAAAGAAACACTACCTTTTATTTATAGTCCATCCAGTCTTAAGTTTTGATATTACATTTTCTTGTAAATTAGGGTTCAGAGTTACAGGTTCTATCAGTTGTAGGAGGGATGTATAAGTTGTTTTCTCCAGGAGTTACAATTGGCTTGTGCTTGTCATTGATAGTTTAAATCACTCCTTTTCCCTTTGGAGACAGAGGTATTCAAATAGGAAAAAGGAATTATCAGTATTCCAGGGATAGAAGTACATACAGCGTATTCAAATAAAAGTGAGCAGTAAGAATAATAGCTGAGATTTATATAGTTTTTACAATATAGACCAGGCAAAGTTCTAAGTGCTTTACATAAACTCAACCTAGTTTCCCTAAAGCCCAGGTTTTATGGGGGAGAGTAGCAAGAGATAGGGTGTGAAAAAGCTGTGAATGCTAGACAAAAGAGTTCTTCCTGTAGGCAATGAGGGAAAAGTGGAAGTTTTTGAGCAAAGAATTATATCTGCAAAAAAATATTATGGAAGGTTATTTTAGTTGCAGTATATGGAATGTAATGAACATGGGTAGGGGGAAAGGAAGCTGAGAGACTTCTTGGAAACTAGATTTTAAAAGCAAGGTGACCAAGACTCTGATTAGGTATGGATTGAGAGGAAAGGAATAGAATTGAAAGAATTTTGCAGGAAGAGCTAATACTTTAGTAGCAAGAAGAAAAGGATATAGATGGAATTCAAGGATTTTGGGGGTTTTTACAGCGAGTGCCTAAAAGAAGTTATCTAACACTCATTGAGCATGTTATCACTCTGCCTTTGGCAGAAAGTCTACTTTCTTGCGCGGTCAGCTGATCAGTGATAGCAATTTCAGTTTGATGACAGAGGGCATGCCCGCCTCAAATGTATGAACCCACACTTATTCAGAGTTTTCTATCATTCACTGCTTTATTATTTCAGAATATGAGAAAGTACAAAGCTGGCCTTGAACAGTGGGCCCAGTTCTTAATGAAATATTTTACATTTTGGGGGTTCTACGTTTTTGAAATCTGAGTGTATCTAACAGCACATCTCAGTTTGGACTGGCCGCATTTCAAGTACTCACTAGCCATATGTGACTAATGGCTACCATAAATGACAGCGCAGACTTAAAGAGAAAAGTATGCAGGTGGAAAAATGAAACATGCTCAGGAGGTATTGAGCAGACCAATTTAACTAGAGCAGAGTGTTCATTCCTGACAACAATGGAGGTTGTGATTGGAAAGGTAGATTGTGAACCTTTGTGGAGGGCCTTGAATGCCATGCTCTAAGGAGTAGGAACTTTCTCTAAGTTAACAGTTAAGTATCCTTGAGGTTGTTGAAGTCTTAATTGTAACACAGTTAAAGAAGTGCTTAAGAAGTGCCAGGAATGTGTTACTAAACATATAAACTCCATCGGGTTTCTAGGAGAGGCAAAAAGCTCTCAAAATCTGCTCCCAAAGTGTGGGATACAGAGCACTGTATCCCAGAGCGTGAGTGATGGGGTCCTGACCAAAATCAAGTGAATCATTGTTGGATCTGAGATCGACATACACGACTACAGGGGTTAGTGGATCCTTCCTGATCCTCCACATAGTGGAGAGCTCCTTTATACCTCTTTGAGTTGGGTCAAATAGGTTTTGGTATTGGACCGTGAATACCACCTGTTATGAGAGGTTCGGGGATTCGATTGGAGATGTAAAAGAAACTCCACTCCAAACAAATGGACTGAAGGTATATTTTATTATATAGAGGATAGTAAAGGTGATAGTCAGCAAACAGATCCGAATAGGTCATATAATAAGAGGGAAAAACATCAGATCGATTGGAAAGGGAAACACCAGGTTCACTGAAAAGAGAACACATCAGAACAATTACTTCACAATAAATCTATTACTCACAACATCCACACCCCACTGCCGGGAGAGTCCTGTCAATCGACACAGCTGGGTGGGGATCACACATCCTGGGCAAGGTGTCCCTTCCACAGGTGGAACTCTCACCAGGCCTCAGTTTCCAGCAGTTTATATAAGCAGTTACAGAGTTTACAGAGCAAGCATTCAGTGTTCCCATGCACAAATGGTTATCGTGGCATACGTGCACTGAGCTTCCTGGCTATCATCGCAGCCCAGTAGTTGTGTATGTGCATTGTTTTCTCTGGTTATCGTCCCAGCCCGGCACAGATGGCCAGTCCATCCAGCGCTACGACGCCCAAAGGACCTTGAAATTCTTACAAGTTGCAACTGTCTCCGTGGGAGAAAGGCCAGTTCCCACCACACAGAAAGCAGCTGTATATTTCTTTGTGTGCTGGCGGCTGTAGGTTAATGGAACGGCCAAACATGGCTGCACTCATGTCAAGACACCACCAATGTTCCCAAGTTGTAAGAATTAGTCCCCAAATCCAAGGATTTCGTCCAGTCACTTGTTCTCTTTTTTAGAGAACCCCCTAATTCAGCCAACAATATATTAGAATTATTATAAATGCTACAAAAGTAATCCTCTCACCCACTTCACTTACCAATTTAATACAGTTCCTCTAAATTGGGGGGAAAAAATGCTGATCTCCTAACTAGCCTTCACATGTACGTTTGCCCAGTGCCTTACAATTTACAAAATGCTTTCACATATATTTCATTTAATGATGGAAGTAATGACTACTTTTTACACACCAGGGCACAAAATAAGAGGCTGTGGAGTTAAAATTGCAGGAAAAAGAACATAATTTAGGCATAAAACCTTTAATAGCAACAATCACCTGATCAGTATGGAGTAATGGAAAGAGCAAGAGAACTAGCAAGAGAAAACAGAAGACACAGGTTCAAGTTCCCACTCTTACCTGTTAATGGCTAGTGATCTCGGGCAAGTCACCTCTCTGAACCTTAGTTCACTCTACTAAAAAAATGATGGTACTTCACAGGGTGTGGTGAGAGTCAGATGACACATACGTGTGAAAGGGGTTTATAAACTGAAGTGTGATGAAAGTTATTTCTACTAGTACTATCTGGTCTGTCCCATGCTACTAACTTGCTAACTTGATCTTAGGCTAATAATTTAATGCCCTTTAATTTCCTCTTTAAAATGAGGGAATTAGAGCAGATGGTTTTCTTGAGATTTTTTAACTCCAAATGCTTAATTTTGCCATGAGATAAGTGGCATCTCACCTTTGAGATTTTTAAAGTCATTTGGTTGACTATCTGGAGACAGAGATGGCTAAAGTATTGTTACTTGCAAAGTTTGCCCAGGATACTCCCAGTTGTCTTGGTGTAATTTCACTCTCAACACTATCCCTTTTTGGAAATATATATGCTCACCTACGTAAAACTTTGATATGAGGAAAAAACACTTTCTAATAAACACAGAATGGAAGGTCTTAAAGGGAATGGTAAGTTTCCTGTTAATGATGCACCAGTTCGCTAGCTCTTTGGCCGGATGTTGTGTAAGGGGATTTAAGTAAATATATGGGTAGGAATGGTGGCTGGATAGATGGCCTTAGATTGTTTTTTGATACTAAGAGTCTAGTAGCCTGTATGACACCAGGAATTTAGAAGCTTTAAATTTGAACAGGAACAAAAAAAAAAATCCTAAAGTCTGCATTGTATCTTCTGTCTACATTTCCTCCCTCAGTGACTCATCCATTCCCATGGGTTTAAATATCACCCATATACTGATGACTCCCAATTTATACCCCCAGCCTTGACCTGCCTCCTGGGAGTCATTCTTCATTTCCTTTTCTTATCCTCCAAATCTAATGCATTAGTTAAGTCCCGGCAGCTCTGCCTCTAAAACATGCCCAGAATCTGTCCACTTCCTTCTGTCTTCACTGGTCCTAGCCACCAACATGTCTTGCGTTAATTGTTGCTTGTTTCCCCCCAACCCCAGCTATGATCTGTTACCAATAAAGTAGTCAGAGTGATCTTTTAAAAATTTAGATCAAGTCACTCTGTCACTTAAAACCCTTCATTATATGCTTCCATCACACTTGGAAAACAAGAAAATCCAGGCCCTTATTAAACCTACATGGCACTCAGCAGTTGCTAATTTGAATGTCTACTACCTATGAACGGATGACCACAAGCCCATTAAAGGGGGATGGGAGGGGGCAGGAGAGCATAAATGCCCTATGTTGAAATCAATTGTTATCACTCAGGATGAAGTTTTTTTAATTTTCAAGAGAAATT